CTATAAGTCTACGGGCAAGTGTCTGTGAGCTTGTTTCATTCTGAGGCCCCTTTTCTTGGTCTAGAGCTAGCCATTTTCTCTGATGGTCTTCATATGGTCTGTGCTTGTGCATCTGTGACCTGATTTACCATGACTAAATTTAAAATTCATTATCTCATTGAAAACCTCATCTCCAAATACAATCCCATGCTGAAGTACTACGTATTAGAACTTCAATATAAGAATTGGGAAGGGGCCTGGCGGGTAGCGTGGTGGCTAAGGGTGGTGAACTCCCACAAAGCTGAACCACAGTTCAAATTCCAGACCTAGGGCTTCCTTTCTCACTTTCACTCTCTCTCTCTCTCTTTCTTTCTCTCTCACTCTGTCGCTCTCTGGTCAAATTAAAATTAATTAATTAATTAATTAATTTAATAATCTTTAAAACAAAAAGAGTTTAGGGGACCAGCAGGTGGCACGGTGGCTAAGGCACTGGATACTTCCACATGGCTGAACACGGTTCAAATCTCGGGGCTGGTGGCTTGCTTTCTTGCTTTCCCTCTCTGTATGTCTCTTTCTGGTCAAGTTTTTAAAAATGAATAAATAAATAAAATTAAATAAATATTTAAAAACAAAAAAGAATTTGGGAAGGGATAGAATTCAGCCAATAACAACATCTGTTCTGCTTTCTCACATTTCTACTACCACAGTCTTAGCTGAGAATCTGTCTCATCACATCTGTTCTAGGATTTCAAACCCAGTGTAAATACCACTCTATCTTCCTCATTATCTCTATGCTCAAGATTTTAAAACAGTATAAAATGTAGAGCTTTTAGAATATATTGCCCAAGAAGAATTCCCTGCCTGGAAAATAAATAGGTTGATAAAGTACACTCATGAAAGCTTTTAAAGGCCCACCAGCCCAAACAAAACAAAATTGCTAGTTATAGGAGTTCAAAAAATATATAATAAATTCACTTTTATTAAATGCTAGTTGAATCATTGGAAAGCGTTCATATATACCAAAGACAGCACCTATTTTTTCTCAAGTGCTTATGCTAGTACTTTATACTCAGTAGACCTTTAATTTCTTACCTATCAAGTTGGTGAAAATTAAACAAATTGCATTGTCCAATACAACTAAAGATTTAGCTCTTTTATTTTGCTTACCAATGTATTCCAGAGCTCAGAATCTACATAAACTTATCAAACACTCGTACACATTCTTGATAGCAGTTGTAATGATATGGCCCTTTGGAAAGTAATTTCCTAACATAAATTCAAAGCTTTAATAATGTTTACTGAGCCAATAATTCCAATGGGATTTTAACCTGAGGACAGTTTTATAAATATTAAAAACTTTTGTACAGAGATATTTATTGCTGCTGAAAAGTGTAACCCTGAAGACAGAATTTACATGTATTTATAAGCAGGTCAAATCCTGAATAAAATAACAATAAAAATTATGGTCTAATTACAGACCCTTACTATGCACCAGACATTAAAAATACTCCCTGATTTAATCATTACAATGTCATGAAGAAAGTATTATTATCCCTATTTTACAGATGGATAATCTGAGACTTAGATGATTAAGTAACTGGTCCAAATTTAAACCACTATAAACTGATGGTGCCAATTTACAAACTGCAAAATGTAATTGATTTGTTTCATTGCCCTCATTCCTCATTTTTATCAAGGCTACATCCCTTTTAGTCCATGTGGCTCCTTTTTTTTTTTTTTTTTTTTTTTTGAGAGAGAGAGTTTTTTTGTTTTTTGTTTTTGGGGGTTTTTTTTGTTTGTTTTTTGCTATGCTATTGCGCGCGTTCACTGGAAAGACAGAGAGAGACAGAGGGACAGAAAGCGAGAAATCACCCCCTGGGGAGGGATGGCCACGCCACAATCCCTTCTCCTCCATTCTCCTCTCAGGATCTTGGGCACACATGCACATGTGCCTAGCGTGAATTTAAGCCACCGGGTCCAGGATTCGAACTGTGGTGGACTACATGGGAGTCCAGTGACATAGCCATTACGCTAACTGCTGCTCCCATTCGTTTTGTTTTTTAAAGGGATCTGGAGTCACTAATGTGAACCTAATTAATACAGAATAATTTATCTGAGGTAGAGTTCCTAAACTTTTTGGTCTTGGGATACTTTTACACTCTTAAAAATAACTGAAGACCCCAGAGTTCTCTTGCTTATTTGAGTCATGTCTTTTGATACTGCTGTATTAAAATTTAAAGCATAAATTTAAAAATATTATAATTTAGACCATTATATACCACAATAAATTATACTTTCATGAAAAAAATTTCAGTATGATTTTTAAAAAGAATCAATTTAATTTTATTAATTATTATTGTTTTAATTTGCTATAGAGCATGTGCAGTCACCAGAGAGAGAGAAGAAAAAGAGAAAGAAACAAAGTAGGACATCAGGTCCTAGACTTGAATCACGTTGTCCATGTGGGAGTCCAACACCCTCCACTATAATTTTTAAAACTAAAAAATTAAGAAAAATAGATTTTGCTTCTGGGGGGGTGATTCTCCCAGGGGAGGGGGGGTAATTTCTCGCTTTCTGTCTCTCTGCCTCTCTCTTTCTGGTGAGTGCACACAGCCTATAGCAAAAAAATAAAAATTAAAAAAAATAAAAAAAACTTGGACATTTCTTTCTTTTTACCAGAGAGAGAGAGAGAGCGAAAGACAGTGAGGGGAAAGTGAGACATCACCCCCCGCCCCAGGGAGGATGGCCATACCATAATTTATTCTCCATTCTCCTCCAGGGAGCTTGGGCACACATGCACAGGTGCCTGGCATGATTTTCAAGCAACTGGGTCTGGGATTCGAACCATGCATGTGCCATATGGAAGTCCAACAACATAACCACTGTGCCATCTGTTGGCCCCAAGAGATGGGACATTTCTAACAGCCTGAATTAATGCCACAGAAGAGGACATCTATTCAACCTAGGTTTGCTTTCAAATTCCCATTATTCTTCTAAGAGCTTTAAAAAGGCAAATAGACTGCTGAAATTTGTGGAAAATGCATATTATTAAAACACACACACACACACACACACAAACCCATGCATGGATTAAAAAATCTTTTGCACCGAAGTTTACTTTTATTTTAATTTTCTACAAGCTTTTTGAAATCTTCTCATATATTCCACCCCAATTTTCAGAGACTAACAATACATTTGTTTTTAAATCTAACAAATCAATACATTTGTTTTTAAATATAAATTAAATTAAATATTTAATATAATCAATAACAGGTCATGCTGAGGTACAAACCTAACCTTTATTGTTATAAGTTCATCGACCTGTGCTTTATACTACCACTAACTGATGTTTTAAAACAATCAGTTTAAATATAGCCAAGAAGAAACACCACTACCCACTGTGTTGGTCCCTTCTCTTTCTCTCCCTGTCTTTACTTCTCTCTTCCGCACACATACACACATGCATACACACACACACACCCTCCCTATAAATAGAAACTGATAGAGCTAGACACGACTTTTTTTAAAAAAAAGAAATGACTGTTTTGACCTTTGTTCAATCATCAAAAATTAGTCCCTTGATTATAACTATGAAAGAAAAGTTCTGGCTCAGTCTCCATTGATCACAGTTACGACTGGGCTACTGAGCTCTAATCCTGTCCCATTTATTATCCTTGACGTTTTTGTTCACGGTCTGACTTAATACTTAAAATAACCTGTGAATAAATATTGTTGTCCCCATTTTAAAAATAAAGAAACTAATACATAAAAAATGCTAAATAGGGACCAACAGATGGCGTAATCATTACATCGCTGGACTCGTATATGACCAGCCATGGTTTGAGTCCTGGATCTAACAACTTAAAACTCACACTAGGTGCATGTGCATGCATGCCCAAGATCCCTAGAGGAGAATGGAGGAGAAAGTTGTGCAGTGTGGCCGTCTGCCTTGTGGGGTGATTTCTTGCTTTCTGACTCTCTGTCTCTCCGGTGAGTGTACAAGCCCTATAGCAAAAATAACTCTCAAATTAAAAAAAAAAAAAATTAAAAAAAAAGAATAAGGCGGGGCCAGTGGATGGCGTGGTGGTTAAGGCAGCTGGACTCCCACATAGCTGACCACAGTTTTATTCTCAGACCTGTCATCTTGCTTCCTCACTTTCCTGTTCTCTCTCTCTCTGTCTCTCTCTGGTCAACTTCAAAAAATAAGTAAATAAATAAATAAATAATGACCATGAATAAAATTAAAAAAAGAAAAAGAAAGAAAAAGACTAAAAACTTATCCCCGGCCATATAAGCTAATTTCTTACCCAGCTGGTATTCATACCCAAATTTCTCTATTTGTAATGCTTCATAATCTTAACCATCTCCATCCTCTTCTGAAATGTTTATTATTATTAGTTCTCTCTGTGGTACCTGAAATGGAATTACTGGCCTGGTTGTTACATGGTTTGCTAATCTACTTTAAAGAGAGTGGCTGGATGTGGTACACAAAGGCATGGGGGGAAAATCAAGTTTTATTCCTATTATCTACGAGCTGACTTTTCTTTTAAGATGGTTTTAGTTCCTACTGTGTTATGTTTCTTCCAAAGTTTAAACAACAGGTCATGAAGCAAATGAAATGATTAGTAGCAGTATTTATAAACCAGCTATTCTGAGTTCAGTAAAAAATAATAAATTGAGTCTCTTTTTTAATGTTAACTGAGCTAGTGGAGAAACCTCATGCAATCTACAGAGTATGGAAAGAAATATGAACAATGGCAAGTACAGTTAATTGAACATTTTATAGAACATTGAGAGAGTTCAGGGAAAGTGCATTTCCCATTTTTTATCTTTCTATGTTTAATAAAAATCCACCTATTACGACTGCATAGAAAAAGAAGAAATAGAAGAGAATTATCATTTTTATTTCTACTGAGTAGCTCATCCAAGCATTTGGGTTTGCCAAGTCTAGGGGCAAAGCCTGTAGAAAGTTATCCAAAGAGACACAAGATATCAAAGACACCTGCTTTCAGTCTCCCTCTCCTAAATTAAAGGCTTTTTTCCTCTGGCTGTGCAATATAACCCTTAAAGTACATGTTGAAATAAGCAAATATTTTCTTTAATTCTCAGAATTCCTTTGATTTGTCTCTTCTGTTTTACCAGTGGGTTGCCTCATTCCATTCTCCCTCATTCCATTCTTTCTTGGGTATCTGGTATCTAAATGAGTGAAAAAACATACTTGATCAGCTTTGGTAGACTATGGTACCAGTGGTTGATATCACATATGTTTCATTGATGATGAAAATCAAGGAATGAAGCTTTAAGAATGAAATGACTATTAGCAAATGAGTTTTTGAAAAGCAAGTTCAGCTCAGGTTCTAACTCTTTAACCTAATGATTACATTTACTTTTGGTAATTATATAACTCTTCTATAAAACATTATAGAGCCAGATCAGCAAATGGCATAATGGTTATGTCACTGGACTCCCACACGACTGACAGTGGTTCCAGTCCCAGTTTCAGACCTGGAGGCTTGAAACTCACACCAGGCGTGTATGTGTGCATGCCCAAAAACCCCAGAGGAGAAGGGATTGCAGATTGGCCATCCTCTCCTGGGGAGTTATTTTTCTCTTCCTGTCTCTCTGTCTCTCTATCTCTCCAGCGAGTGCATGCACCCTATAGCAAAAATCTCTCTTAAAAAATTTATAGAGGATGTATTATTTAAATTATTTTATAGGTTTAATATATATAATATATAATACGTTT